GTGCACGCAACATTATCGCGCTGTGAAAAGATTTTTGCCAAATGCAGTTTAGTCCACCGGTCCGACTAGTCCACAATGAGATCTTTGGCTGATCGCTGCGCACCGCTTGCCCTCTTCAACAATTGGTGGAGAACAGGCTGTTATCGCGCCAAATCCAATCCCCTTTAGGATACGCATCACCATCCATAGCGAGCAAGACTATACCTCACGTGTGGAATGTTTGAGGTACTGTAACCGAGGGGAGAATGTAAGCGATAAAGTGTTGAAGAGATCCCTTCTAAGGCTGAGCCTCAGATGAAGCATAAGAGCGCGTTCAGTCTTCGCGATCGCGCGATCCAGTTCGCGCGATCGCGAAGTCTGAATGCGCTCTAACAGAGTTCGACTAGCGTTTGTGCACGACCTCGTTTCAGGCTCAGAGGGGTCGCTATTCCTATGCCTGCTCCCTCAACAACAATAGCGTTGAGAAATTTCCAGAAGCAAGGACAGTTTGTGTGCGCCGTCACCCATAATGTGTCAGAAAGTTCACTAATATCCTGTACAAGTAACAAAAACAGACTCGTCAATTTTTATTTTAGTAGAAAGAATGTTTATTTGTCTTCATTTTTAATGTATGTCAATGGGTGATACTCTTCAACGAGAAATGACGTTCCGTACGAAACTTTATCAATCCGCTCTTTGGTGTTACCTGGAAAATAAGCCAATTTATTGCTGGGAACGCGTGAGACGGACGGCGGATAGAGCGTGTGGTCCGCGTCGCGGATACGCGACGTTGCAAGTGGTGTCACGTGCGCGGCATTCGCACCAATACCTAGCCGATTCGACAGTACGGTCTTGTTCGCTGTGGATGATGGGACGTGGCGCCAGCCCGTTCCTGTTCTTTTTTTCCTTCGGCAAGCTACAAGAATATATCAGCCGGTCTGCACCAATTGTTGCGCTTAGTCGCTTTATCAACCAATGGAGGACGGGCTGGTGGCGCGCCAAACACAACCTCACTGACACACCCCTTCGTCCGCAGCGAAGAGCACTGTAGGTACTGCCGTATATCGAGCCATCTAGCTGTGAGATACTCTTCTAGTTTTCGCGTGATCCGCGTGACGCTTTCCCCCAAATATTTCCACCACAGCTCCCTCCCCCTTCCCCCACCCAGAATCAGGAAAAAAGAGGACATGTGCAAAAAGTAAGAGCCAGGCAAAGTAAAGCCCAAAACGTGCCTTTTGCAATACAGACTCATCTTTCACATCTGAAGGCATTCGTAACGTTTCGATTCCGTGTCTGAAAGCACAACGGTCAAGTTTTCCACCATGAAGCACAACAACAGGAAAAATTGCTCACGTCAATGGCAACTCTGTCTTCGGCGAAAAAACTCGGTCAAAACGTGGTTCGATTCCGATGACTGGGGCAGTAAAAGATAAATAGTGCTGGAAGTGGTTACAGTGCATCTGTCCACCAAAATTTCCTTTGCTTCGAGAAGGCGAGGAGTACTTTCTCATGACGTAGTGCGACTGAGTCCTCAAAAAGGGGAAAAGAAGGCAGAGGCATAGTGACAATGTGCATGTAAGAGACGACAGGCGGGCAAGTGCT